GAAACGAACGAACGAATTGGAAATGCTGGAAAAGAAAGAGAGATGTTGCGGTTTGGAGGAGGAAACGGAAACGGGTATCTGCATCTCTGGTGGGAATCAGTGAAGTGGAGCACGGCGGAGGAGCGGTTGCCATGCCATGGGCTCGCGACCCCGAACTGCGGCAACCAGGCCGAGGGCCTCGCGCCTCGCGCCACTAGTGCATGGATATTGTTTTTTAATAAATTTTGTTACGGTCGTCTTCATTTTGGAAGATCTTCGCATTCTAGCTTCCCACATTTGAGAGGATGGTAAGTAATTGAATCGATGGACAACTCAAATAGACGAGGTTGGTTGGAAATTGAAATTTCCCGAGCTTTTGAATGTCAGATCCGGAGATGGTGCTAATGTTTTGCTATATCCTTATCGTTAGGAGTCATCAAAAAAGATGCGGTTGAAATCTCCGATGTCGCTGGCAATGTTTGTCTTGAAATAGAGAAATTGAGCTAAGATGACAGTTGGTCCAAGGCAAAGACTAGACCGAAGAGCGCACACTATCTAAGGCTCTAAGCTAAGGCCAAACCAAAAAAATATACACCATGAAAAGAAATTTGTTATCTTCATCTTTCAGAGGACCGTCTTCAGAAAGGGGATAACACAAAAATACACAAGCACATGCACCCTGCTTGAATCAGATCCATCAAGGCGAATTAACTTGTTAGCATATACATCCAAGTTTGCACGCATGAGGAAGGTAGCGACATCACACACAGCAGGTGCACCTGAAGAGCAGTGTCAAAGATCTTCGAGACCATCTTTGGTCCTAGCCCGGGTTTTAAAGAAGTTTACCAGAGGATTATAACACGTTACTTGGCCCGTGTAGGAGACTGTGATGGTTTGACTCATGCAATAGCTCGGTCTTGGTCATGGATCATATTCCGCCACTACTGCTAAGAGGGAGGTTGGGATCTATGGAAACACACACGTGATTGGATGGTTGGGAATCTGAAACTATTCCTTGGTGGTAGAGTAACCAAAAGCAAAGCATGTTTCACTAACATTCCTGTGTATCATTCATCTATGTGTAGATTCTCCAAAACCAATGTTGGTGGAATGGATGAAGCTATTAGAAGGTTCTTTTGGCGGGGTAATGGGAAGAAAAGAAAATGTCATATGGTAAGATGCCATGTTATATGTAGACTAAAGGAAAAAAAGAGGCATCGGCATCCATGACCTAAAAAGATTCAATATTAACATGTTATGTAAATGGTGGTGGAACTTGGAGAATATGGAGGGATGTGGCAGGTGATTGTCATGAATAAGTATAACATAAAGCATAATATTTGCCAAAAAATGGGTTTGTGAATGATTCACCATGTTGAGCAGATCTGGTCAAACTTAAACAATTTTACATGAGGGGCAGGCAAGTGGTGGTTGGGGATGGGAAACAAATTGTCTTTTGGCAAGATACTTGGTGTGGAGATACACCTTCGAAGGATCTGTTTCCTGAGCTTTTCTTGTTTTGTAATGAAACTAGGAGGAACTATGAGATAAATGGTTGTCTTAGCTTAGGACTAACTTTTAGGAGATGGTTGAATGATAACCAAATAAAACAATTTAATAGCTTGCATGGGATGGAAGTCTTTATGAATCTCTCTCAGTCCGTTGATGCTCCTAGATGGAAATGGGACAAACTGGCAAATTTATTTTCAAATCTCTTTATCTGATGTGGTCCCAAATTAGATTATTTAGAGACCTCTGGAAAGCTAAAATTCCCTTAAAATTTGGCTTCATTTGTGCCTCAATTGCAACTAAAGATAATATGATCAGAATGAACTAGGTGGTTGACCCTTTGTATCTCTTCTGCCCAGAACCTAAGGACATTCATCACATGTTCTTTCTCTGCTCTGCGGCCAAGTATATCTAGAGCATTATATCCAAACTCATTGCGGCCAGAGATAGGAATGGATGATCTATCCAATACTTCCGATGGATACCAAAGTTTATGCCTAATAGCATAAATCTACATATTGTTGGGCTAGTTGCAGTTTGTTGGGCCGTGTGAAAATTACATAAAAGAGCTTGTTTTGATCAGAAGTTAGTCAGGTCGCCTGCTGAACTGATATGCTATGCATGTTGTTTTATGTGTTATTGGGCAGGCCTGCAATATAAAGAGGATTGAATGATGATGGAGCAAGGTGTTGAGCTGCTGCAAAGGGAGGCATTGACAGCTCATGGTGATGGCCAGGGTGAGAGAAGAGGAAGAATCCTGCAGGTGGAGGCTGGTATAAATGAAGAAGATGAAGAGGCAAACAATGATGGCAACAATGTTATGGATGAAGACCGAAGGATAAGATAAAATGCTAGAGATATGTTTGGCCTCAAGACTTGTTTTTTTCTCTTCTGGGCAGATGTTTGGAGGTACGTTTGGGGGTGTCGTTTCCCCTCATGTAATATATACCATTTGTTGTCGTTACTTATCTAGCTTACTGTTAGCATTAGATGCGGCGGCGTTTGTTGAGATGATCATTGATCTTTTAGCTTTGTAGTTTACTTTCTGCACCAGGATGCTATATTATTTTTGTTTTTTGTTCTGCTATCTTTTGATAGTGGAACCCGGTTCATTTTTTGGTTCATGTGAAAAAACACGTTATTTGAGTTCACATATTGTTATCGGGTCCAAGCAATGAATGCCAGACCACAACACCAAATAAAATGCCTTTGACAATGAGATGGTGCATGTACCATGACAGTATCTGACCAATGATGGTTAAACTGTGTTTTCAATGTGAAACAATGTTTGAAGCACCAAAAACCAGAGCAATATTTTTTGATATGTCTCAACCATGCCTATGCTAAAAATTACCATGATTTCCCCTTGGTCTAGTTGCCACATGGGCTAATAGGGTTGCGTCATCTCATGCCGATCACTCCTCTACCAGATACCGCCACACAATTCATTGTCATTGCACATAGGCGAGAGAAATAAAGCCAACGGCTCCAACCATGATAAGGGAGGAGAAGCCTTGCCATCGCATAGAGCAAGGCCACTCCCAAGGGTAGAGCAAGTGAGATAGGCGTAGAGAGATGACCAAACATATTGTAAACGTTCAATTTTTACCATAAATACCCCTCCCCCCTCAATAAAAAAGAAGAAGCCAATTCTCACATGGAAGGATGTAGTTAGAAATAACATCTAGACTATATTTTTAGGTGGCCTCGTATGGGGAATCATATATAACTAGATAAAACAAGTAATACCTACTACTATCTCCGATCCAT